CATACATCAATGGTTCATTGATCAATTATGAATTTTTTGCAAAGTTGAGTGACTATATAGGGAAGTTTTGGCAAAGTTCAGTGACTATTTAGGGTATTAACGAAGTTCAGTAACCTCTTAGGAACTTATTGCAAAGTTCAGTGACTATTTAGGGAACTTTTGAAATTCAGTGACCTCTAAGGAACTTTTGGCAAAGTTCGGTGAGTCGGTGACTATTTAGGGTATTAACTCCCCAACTTCATATTTAGTGGCACATTGGCTATCCAATTTGAATATTTTAAATAAAGTTATTGGGTAGTCTGAAACTAATAAGTGTGAAGTTGGGTGGATACGGCATAACAAAATCAAATTGGATAACCAAAATGACACTAAATATGATTGTTTGATGGTTATTGACAAATTCAACCCTAAAACCGACGTTATATATATAGGGAAAAAATAGTGGACATGTCATATGTGAGCGGTGGGTTGGTTTCAATTGGTGGACACCACTACGCTAGAGAGAGAAACCTGTATTAGGTGTAGGTTGGGTTGGGTGGTGGGTAAGTAGGTAAATGACAACTAAAGTTTTTAGAGAGAGAAACAAGTGGTGGAGAAAATGGGTTGTAGGGATGGACCGGTGGCAAGTGGAGTGGGCGTAGGGTGCATTATCACCCATTTGCGCATGCTAGCATCATCATCCTCATCCGTGTCACCCACCCCCACCCATCCGCCTAATCCTTTTCTCACTACAATTGCTGTCACTACTAAATTCAATGCCTATATGCTACCTCATGATATCAACCACCACAACAATACCCCCACCACCACTCCCAACCACCCCATCTCGCTATTGTGTGCTTCTTAACAATGTTTGCCCCTTCCCATCTCCTTTATACATCCCACATTAGCATAAAATAACAGTCACCGATTTCCTCCTATTTCTTCGAGACTATTTCCTCCGCCTGTCTTGCTAACGTGCGCCTCAATCAAATCCTCCTCCATCGCCACCAGTTTCTGACCCTTGGCCCAATTCCACCAACCCACGTCCTGTCTTTGATAAAATTTTTGTTTTTTTGCTCAAAGATGAGAACTTTTGGATCTGCAACCTCACTGCCGCCTTGTTAACGCACGCCGCGACCACCTGCACAACAGATCTATCGATCAGCGACGCCGCCAGGTTGGCTAACGTACGCCGTTTGTCTTGATTTTGTTTTCCAGTCCTTTTATTGTCCCTTCCAAGCACGACATGTCATCTACCGCAACTGCCACCACTCTCGCGGCGGGGGACGCAGTCGCTACCGAAACGGTGGAAAAGCCTCCCCGGAGATTCCCGCCGCCGTGCTGGACCCAAGAGGAGACGCTGGCTTTGATTGACGCCTATCGCGAAAGGTGGTACGCTCTCAGGAGAGGGTACCTGCGCACGGCGGATTGGGATGCGGTAGCGGCAATCATCAATAGCCGCTTCTCCGACGCCCCCATTCCCAAGACCTCAGCGCAGTGCCGCCACAAGATGGAGAAGCTCCGCCAGCGCTACCGTGCTGAGAAGCAGCGATCTCTCTCATATCCCTACCCTGCCGGTCGCTTCATATCCTCCTGGTTTTTCTTCGACTATATGGACGCCATGGAGAACGGAACAGACCCTCCTTCATCTGATACTGGATCCGGTGAAAAACCCGATAACACTGCCCTATTGAAATCATTTCTCGATCAGAGTATACTGAAATTGAAGCTCAAATCAAAGAATAATGTCAATTCTAGCCCCATGTTGGAAGCAAAAAATTCCGAGTATACTTCTTACTTGGACATGGGAGACAATAAAGAGGAGCAGGATCTGGAACAAGACGAGGATCATGCCGGTTTCGGAACTAAATTTCGTTCTGAAAAGACTATGGGAGGATTTTCCATGCCTCATCTGAAGTTAAAGGCAAAGAATTCTAACAAAAATTTCGGTGAATCCAACGCTAATTTCAATATCAGCGGTGGGTTTCATATGAAATCCTCTGGAAGTCTAGATATGATCCCCCCAGGATTAAGAATCAAGAAGCTGGGAAAACCCGACAGAAGAATGAACCCTGAATTCCACTATGGCGACGAAGAATATTGGGGTTTGAGAGGGAGTTTGAATCCAGGAAAATCCATGAATGGGAATGGGATTGGGATGAAGAGGGTGAGGAATCCAGTGGAGGAAATGGTCGATTCAATTAAGTTATTGGGAGAAGGATTGGTGAAGATGGAGAAAGCCAAGATGGAAATGGCTAGAGAAATGGAAACAGCAAGAATGGAAATGGAATTGAAGCGTAATGAGATGATACTTGAATCACAGAGACAGATTGTGGATGCTTTTGTCAAGGGACTATTCGAGCTCAAGAAGAACAAGAAGTCGAAAATCGCTGTTCCATCAGATTCGTAATCGTCGAGGATTTCCCTATTAGATATGCGTATGCAGTTCTAGACG